TGGGCGTATGGCTGTGGTTTCCCAGACTTATAGACCAGCAAACACTACACCTAAGGCCTAGAGGAGCTTCGCTTTTCACAATGAGTTAAAAGCAAACAAAATTTTAAATTGCGTCTGCGGAATCTGGCAGTTAGTAAAAATCTCGTCATTTACGCCATCAGTGAAGCCGAGACTCGGGCAAAGAAGGTTAAAAACCTCCCTAGCAGACTGTCAGGGGTCATAGGACGTGAGCTTGCCGGATTTTAAGGCCTAATCACATGCAACTGGTGAAATTAAACTCGAGATCACGGCGTTAGGTGCACTGTGCACAAACGTTTATCGCCAATTTTAGGCAAAAGCCATTCAATCGGTAGTTATGGGTCCGATTTGCTCGCATTCGATGACGTAGTTACGTACGCAGTCACTTTACGGGTCACAGCAAGCCGCGAGCAAGGGAGAGGCTCCGCACAGAATCCGGCGGGCATGGACACAATTCAATGAAAAACGAAGGTGGAATTGATGAAGATAAGAGGTCCTTTTACCTGATGGCCCGCTGTGGGGGCGTTAAGTCTAAACATCAGCGGACAGTCTGAACACTGTATGGAGCATTTAAGTACGCCTTTGCTTTGGTGCAGAAAACATGCAGTAAAACGTACAAAACACTGCAAGTAAAGAACAGTTCCTAGCACAAAGACGCATCACAAACAAACCGACAAAATGTTTACAAATAACCTCCCCATTATGATGAGCCACTTTTATTATATCACACGAATTCGAGAGGCTCGTTGGTAAAATTGTTGGTAAGCTGAACTCCCGGTGTTTGCTAGCTGAAAGTACCTGTACAAAGCGGTGTAGATGGCATAGCTTCTATAGACAGCAGTCATGGTAAAATTTAGTAGCAGGTTTGACGTGAAGTTAAACCCTTGGGATGCCTAAAAGACAGTTTACTTGAGACATGTATTTAAAGAGCCGCAGAAACCCTCAAGCGTTAGTAGACTTAATAATTTCGACATAGTAAACAGTAGACGACGATGAGCAAAATTTAGCCCCTTCGAGATGTAATGCTTATCTTCCAAAAATGAGACAAAAGAGGCACTTAAATTACTACTAGGTATGTCAAGCTCTTTGAAGATAGACGTCCAAATTAACGTGCGCGCCAGAAAAATAGAACGACGGACAAATTTTGGTCAGCGCAAACTGATTTCGATGGCCAGTATGGTTGAACTAATAGTAGTGGTAGTAGTAGTAGTAGTAGTAGTATTAGTAGTAGTAGTAGTAGTAGTAGTAGTAGTAGTAGTAGTAGTAGTAGTAGTAGTAGTAGTAGTAGTAGTAGTAGTAGTAATGTGGCGAATGTGACTGAGCGAGAGAGCAGCAATGAACTGCAGCAATTCTTGGTCGAGAAAAGCGAATGCTTTCCCGCCGTGGTGAACCTCGCCTCCAGCCACCTAGACGCGTCGGAACATTAGGCTACTGAAAGGCAAGGCGGTGGGGCTGATATCGTCCCTATACTTATCATCATAAGTTAATCCAGGCGTACACAAGTCATTTCGCCATTAGTTATCTCTCGTCGAGAAAGATGGGCGAACTACGGAGGAAACTAGCCTAGTTCTCTGGTCCTGCCCATTCTGTTAACCTTACTTAATCGTGTTTTCGGTCTCCATTCTGAATTTCGTGTCCTATGAAATTGGCGGGCTGAGGCATCAAACATAAACATTTGAAGCCAAACTCGCAGCTGACTGTACGGGTGTTTCTGCTATTGAATCAGAACAAGTCGTTTTGCTTCGAACTGTGTCAAGCAAAACGCAAATCTGGGCTTAAATTGCACAAAAGTGGCATATGCAGGAGCAGAGGGTACGGTCTCACCATTTGAGTAGCCATCAGTTGACCAGCATTCTTGGTGGTGAGGAAGAGGGAACGCGAGAGAGTGAGCAGCTTCTGAAGAGCAGCCTCCAGGCCAGCAGCAACAGCCGGCGCAAAACTCAGCGGCTGAGCCTCGGGATTGGCGGGGATACGGCGACGAATGCAGCGGGCCTTTGCGCGGACAACGGAGCCCAGGAGGCAAAACTGCTTCAGCACTCCAATAAGGCCAGTCTGAGAGGGGCTGGCAAACAACGAAGTCTCTGTCTCCTCCACTGGGAGGCCTTCTTCTGGCTCGATGTCATCCAGCGCCT